CCTGAGCCTCTTTTCCTCTTCCTCTCTCCTTTGGTCCTCCTCCTCCTCCCTGATCCTGCCTCCCCTGGGCTTCCTCTTCTTCCTCCTTGTTTCTTCTCCCTGATCTTCCTCTGTGATCCTCCTCCCCCTCATCCTCCCTCCCTTGGTCCTCAACATCCATCTCTGATTCTCCCTCCTTTTTGGTCCTCCTTCTTGATCCTCCCTGTCCTCTCCATGATCCTCCCCATTCTCCTCCTTGATTTTCTCCTGTTCCTTTTTCTATGAGCCTCCCTCCCTCCCTCCTACCAAGGTCATCTTCCACCCCACTCCCCCCACTCTTCCTCCCCCCTTGTTGGTCAGGGTCACAGTGTGATGGACTGGGTGGTCGGCACAGAGACAGAGAGCCAAGAGACCTTCCCCCTCATCCTGCCAGCCTTGTTACGTGAAGGAAGAAGGAGGCAGGCCACGCTCAGAGCATCTCTGGGCTCACATGGGGAGGCACAATCCCCAACCCAACTGAGCTCCCAATCTGATGGGGGAGACACAGCTGTTGTTGTGAGGAAGTGTCCAGTCTGAGGGGAGAGACAAAGCCTCTCCTTGGGAGACTGGCCCACACTTGTCCCTGGAGATCACTCTAGGAGCATTAAAGATTAAGTACAAATGGGTGTGGATTGATAGGGAGCAACTGGCCGGTCGGTGGAAGAACAGAGTGGGCAGGTGGGGCAGGGCCTGAGGGTCTGGGAAGGCCGGGAAGGAGCCTGGACAGGTCCCTTCAGGATCTGACTTCTCTTCCCTCAGGTTCTAGGGCCACCTCAGCCAGTTTGTAAGATAAAATGGGGAGAGGGTGTGAGCCCCAGGCCTGAAAGGGGAACCCAAGAGGCTGCTGCCCTCAGGCCAGGGAAGGGGGGTTAGAAAGAGGGAGGGAGAAGAAGAGAGAGGGACAGGGAGGGAGGAACGGGAAGGAGGAGGGTGAGAAGGGCAGAGGGGAGAAGTTGGTCCTGTCAGGCTGGAGACTTCTAGGCTGTGGGAAGCAGCAAGAGTTCCCACACATGCCTCCCTCAGGCCCAGACTTCCTCTCCACCCATTCCCGCTGGTTCCCTGCCCTCCTCCCTTGCCCTGTCTTCCTACCTGGGTCCTGTCTGGACCCCTAAGGGCTCTGGGTCCTTTTGGGGGAGGGGCCCCGGACAGCTGATGTGGCTCTCCTGGAACGGTGCAGTGTTCTGGGCGCTGTACGTACCCTATGCGTTGGGTCCCCCCCAGGCTGATAGTTCCTGGAAACCAGTCAAAGGGAGGTGGCTGAGTCTGTTGTCCCTGAGGAGAGCGTACTCAGAGGCTCCTGGTGTGTAAAGGGACACTGGGGGACCCCTGCCTCCAACTCCCCTAACTGGGAGGAGACTCAGGAGTCCCAAGAATGTTCCACACTCCCACAGCCCCTGGAGTGGAGGGGAGAGGCTCTCTTTGGAGCTCCACAAAAGTCCTCAGTGGGTGGATCCGGGTGGGGTGGGCCTTGGGCCTCAGGACAGAGGCTGAGGAAATGGTAGAGGAAGAGGAGGCTTCCACCTGAGGGCAGGTGTGGCTGGGCATGGGGGCCCTTCTGAGGGCATGCTGGCCGGGCAGGGGACTCGTGGGCTCCTTCATGGCCCTGCCGCTCCCATCCCAGGCAAGGTTCCTACACAGGAGGGGTGAGAAGGGCTCAGGGTCTGTGGTATGTGGAAAGGAAGAGACAGGTACCTAGTAGCAGGTGTCTGCAGATAGCATCAAGCTCTTTGGTACCCCTGAAGGATTTAGGGCCCTTTCCTCCTCAGCTCAGCCAAGGTCCTAGTGGGGAGCCCACCCCCGGACTCCTGGGCCTCTCACTTCCTCCACCTTACCTGATATGGACCCTTTCCCTCGGTGGAGAGTGGGAAATAGCCATGTGTTTCCTCTCTGGGCCCCTGTCTCCACCCCAGTCATGGTCCAGCAAGCACTTTAGAGCTCCTGCCTTGTCCAGGTTGTGCCCCGGGTTCTGGGTGGGGTGGGGGGTGGGCACTGTCCTAGGGGGTGACAGTTAATGCCTGGGGGGTGAGCCGTAGAGCCAAGGTCAGCTGGGATGATGTGGCATGACCTTGGTCAGTATTAATAGGCATCTATTTTTTTTTAAAGATTTTATTTATTTATTCATCAGGGACACAGAGAGAGAGAGAGAGAGAGGCAGAGACACAGGCAGAGGGAGGAGCAGGCTCCATGCAGGGAGCCCAACATGGGACTCGATCCTGGGTCTCCAGGATCACACCTTGGGCCGCAGGCGGCCCTAAACTTTTAGCTGAGCCACCCGGGCTGCCCCGGCATCTATTTTTTTTTAAAGTTTATTTGTTTATTTAAGTAATCTCTATACCCAATATGAGACTTGAACTCATGGCCCTGAGATCAGAGTTGCAGGCTCTTCTAACTGAGACAGCCAGGGGCCCCTTAACATGCATTTATTGGACATCAACTGTGTACTGGGGCCCCCAGTTACTCTACACTCTGAGCCTTCCATCAATATCACAGGGGTGGGTGTGGTTCCGGGGACGCTCTCCCCACACCCTGGTCCTGCTCAGATCGGAGGCAAGGCCTGTGTCTACTCCACCGGTGAGCACACTGGCTTCTCAGCAACCTCTGGAGACGAGACCCAGGGCCTGTGGGCTTAGGCAAGCCTCAGGCTGGCGTGACGGCCCTGGGGACCCTGGGGGTGATCCCAGCCACTCCCTGACTTCCTCGTCTGGTCCTCTCCCTCACTGTGCTTGACTCCCAGCAGCCTCTGGGGCTGGAGCTCTTCCTCCTTTTCTTCTCATCTTCCATGTGGGCCAAGCTGCTGATGACTGCGGGGGCTGTGGGCCTGGTGCTTGGCTGCCAGGGGCCTCTCCCTGCCGGGGGTGGAAGACAAGCCCGGGCAGGAGGCGTCATGGCCGAGAGGACCTCTGTGCAGCCCTCTGGCTGGCTCCTGTCCGACCTTCCTCCCCCCTCGCAGGGAGAGTGGGAGCTGCTGGGGCCCTGGCTCCAGGCCTGGCTCTGCTGCTAATGCCGGGCCACCCCACCTGGCCCTGCCTGCCCGCCCGCCTGCCGCTCAAGTGTTGTGTGCCTCAGTTTCCTCTCAGCACTGCGGGGAAGGTGTGGCGAGGGCTGTCCTTGAGCTGTGTAGGTCTCCTTGGCCAGAGCTAGTCAGGCCCTGCAGAGGGTCAGGGAGGCTTCCCTGGGGTCTAACTCTGCCCTTTCACTCAGCCTGTGAGGCCTTCCTGGGTTGGGATGCCCTTGGGGGATCCGTAGTTGGTGGATCTCTCTCCAAAGAGCGAGACAAAAGGCCTGGGAGTCACCAGTGTGGGGAGACAAGCCCAGACTCTGGCATGCAGTCTGATGTCAGGGGTGAGGGAGCTTGAGGGGCCCAGGTGGTGGTGATGGTAGGTGGGGCCTTGGTGATTTGGGAGGGAAGAAGGGAGGTTCATGAACTCTCTGCCCCCTGACACTGGGGCTTGAGCCTAAGATCTGGGAGCTTTGGAGGTAGGGTGAGGGCTGAGCTGTGGGCTCCAGGGAGAGGCATGCAGAGCCCCTGGCTGTGCTCCAGGTTCTGTGTGGAAGGCAGACGCTCAGCCCAGGGAGGCCTGCCTGGAGGGGACAGGCCAGTCGGCTCCTGGAAGACGGGGATCCCTGGGAGTGTGGCTCCCCTGGGGAAGGGGAGGGTCTGCTTTGCGTGTCCTCCTGTGAGAGGGCGATGGGCTGGTACAGGGCCTGTCTCTGGCCCACTCAGGTGACCCTGGGTCCTCCCCAGAGACCATCCTGGATAGCCAGGAATTCCTCCCTGACGTCTATCCTCATGTGAGAACCCTGCTAGTCTGACCTGGCTCCTGTACCTTGGCTTCGAGCCCCCTCTCTATCCTCCCACCCTAGCCACACTGGGAGCCCCCAGAATTCACAGGCAGGGCCAGAGCAGGGTTAGGTTGGGGTTCGTCCCCTCTCTCCCAGATAGCTTGAGCTGTCCCCACTTCCCCAGAGAGGAGACATCTTCACTCGAGAGGCCCCCCACTTTCTAAGCAAGACGTCCTTCTGGAAGTCTAGCCTCAGCACAGCAACCTGGCTTACGAGGAAACCCTGATTCCCACCCTGTCCCCGTGTGTGGGCTGAGAGCCCAGGCCACCCGCATGGGCTCCAGGTTCGCCCTCACCTGCCTGTCCCTCAGGCCCTGGGCGCCCCTGGGAGCTCCCCATTCAGACAGGCCCGGTGCAGACGCCAGTGTCCTGGCAGCACCTAAATCGTTAGCGCCGAGGAGATTAGGCTGTAATCTCTTGTTGGGCGGCGGGCGGGTGCCAGCTGCCAGGATGTGGGATGGCGCGGCTTCCTCACTGGGGCGGCCCTTCCCTGGGGCGCAGCACACTAGCTAGGGGAGGCACCCTGCTTCTTTCTCCTCCTCCAGGGGGGCCCTCAGGAGTGGCTTTCCTTTGCTCTGGGGGCATGAACAGAAGTGGTCACCCTAACTCTCTGTTTCATTTTTTTCCTTCTGGCCTCAGACCTCTGACCTCAATTTCACTGATGCCACCGCCTCTCTAGATTCCATCAAAGACCATGGGAGACAGGAATTACCCCATTTTACAAATGAGGAAGGTGAGGCTTGTAAATTGACTTCCTGGCAATTTGCATCCAAAGCTCCCTCCGGCCAGAAGCAATGTCTGTTCGATCCCGATCCCCCAGGCCAGGAGCTGTGTCCCCTCTCACAGCTGTGGACTCTTCAGCTGGAAGATCCCCCTCAGCCTGGGGGGCCCTCTCAGGGCCATGTTGTACCTGGGAGAGGGTGTCACCCTGAATCTCTCCACCCTCTCTCCCTGGGGCCCAGGAATGCTGGTTGGGGGGCCAGACCAGCCTCGGGGCTCCAGGCCTGTGGAGCCTTGTTCCAGGCCCCGTCTGGCTCCCAGGGCTGGGTTCTCCGGACTGCCCCCAAGAATGAGCTCAGCTGCTTAATTGTGGCTGAGGATGGAAGTTCACCCTACCCTGGGGCTGCGGCTCCAACACCACCTTTGTTTCTGAACAGACAATGGGCTGCTAAGAGGCCACCTGCCCAGGCCCAGATCAGGCAGGGGAGGGGTCCCCGGGGATGCACTCAGCATGTCCAGCCTGAGCCCCGGGCCCTGGGCGGCTGGTACAGAAGCAAATTACATGGCTGGGTTTTGGCTCTGACTTCAAGGGCCGGGGGCCCAGCCTCCCTTTAGCCTGGCTATAAAGGGCTGCCCGGGGTCTCTGTCCAGACCAGACCCTGCTCCCGACTCGTGGACACCATGGCTGCTACCACCACCAGCATCCGCCAGTTCTCAACCTCCGGCTCCGTCAAGGGGCTGTGCGGGCCCGGTGGGGGCTTCTCTCGGATGTCCTCAGTTCGTGTTGGGGGCGCCTGCAGGGCCCCCAGCCTCCTGGGAGTCGGCAGCTGTGGCAACATGTCGGTCACCTCGTCCCGCTTCTCGGCGGGCTTGGGGGGTGGCTACGGTGGCGGCTACACCTGCAGCCTGGGGGGGGGCTTCGGCTCTGGCTTCGGCTCCGGCTTTGGAGCGGGCTTCGGCGTGGGCTTCAGCTCCTCTGACGCCCTGCTAGGGGGCAGCGAGAAGGAGACCATGCAGAACCTCAACGACCGCCTGGCCTCCTACCTGGACAAGGTGCGCGCCCTGGAGGAGGCCAACGCCGACCTGGAGGTGAAGATCCATGACTGGTACAAGAAGCAGGGGCCCGGGCCCGCCCGCGACTACAGCCACTTTTTCAAGACCATCGAGGAGCTGCGGAACAAGGTGTGTGGGCCAGGCAGTTCCCTGCCCTCTGCCCTCTGTCCTTACTTAGTGCCCTCCCAACTTTGGACCTTTTGGTACATTTCTTCTCTGCCCTGGGTCTTCATTCATTCATTCATTCATTCATTCATTCACTCTTACTCGCTCAGGAACCCAGCCCTGTGCCAAGGTGCCAAGCCTGGAGGGCATCCCATGCAGGGAGACTGGAGTTCTCCCTTTGTGGGGGGGGGGAAGTATTTGGGGGTGAGTGATGGAGGAGTGAGTGGGGAAGGCTTCAGAGCTTTGAAGGCAGCAGACGGCATTCCTGGTACAGAGAACACTGTGGGCTCAGACACAGAGGTAGGGGAGTTTGGTGTGGCTGCTGGGAGGTGAAGCTGGCCTTCTCCTTCTCACTATTCCATTCGTCGCTGGGTGTGGCTCTCTGCCTGTCCCACCCTCTCCAGGGAGCCCTCCTGAATGGGTGGCATTTGCCTTCTATCCCCAGATCTTGAGGTCCCTTCAACGTTCTGTGGTTCAGTCAATGCCCTGTTCACTGTGCTGGTTTCACGGAGTCTGGCATATTCTCACAGCTGGTTTCACTGTGGGTCATCCTCACTCTCTCCGTGATGGTGACTCTGAGGGTCCCAGAGGGAAGGAGCTATGTATTCCTACTCAGACTGGAAGCTCCCAAGGGCAGGAATTACTCTAAGTTAGTCCGAAGGAGAACACAACACATGCCCACGTGCTCATGACCTCTGAGAACATGGCCTTGGGCTTCTGTGCATGAGGCATCTGGGTCTTCTACACAGGCCTTGCCCTTGGAGGGTCCTCGGGGGGCTGTAGCCCCCAGAGGTATGTGAGACCTCAAAGAAATGTGGAGCTGTTTAGGGGAGGCCACGCTGGGGCCTGCTCTCTTCTGGTGGAAAACCAGGTCTGGTGCTGCCCTGTGAGGGGCTTTGCCTGTTCCTGCCCGGGACCTCAGCCAGGAAGGGAATTCCTGCAATTGCCCCCTGGAAGCTGAGTTAGTGGGAGTGCCAGATCAGATAATGGGCTTGGTCTGGGCAGTGGGGAACCCAGGGGAGCCCTGGTGAGTCAATGTTCCAAGCTTTGGGGTCAGCCAGCTCCTCACCACCAACCCCCAGTGCACCGCATCAGGCCTCTGCCCCTCTGAGTCATTGCATCCCTCGGGGGTTTGCACAAGGGCCCCTTGCTAGGCCCAATCAGCATCCTGAGCAGGGAAGTGACTGGGAGGCCGGTCTGTAGGCCACCGAGGCCAGGGATGGGTAACAAACTGGCCCTTGGGCTTGCTCTAGAAATAGGGCCTGACCCAGGGTCACTTCACAGGGCCCTCAAGGGGGCTCAGAGGCCCAGAATGAGGCTATTGGGGCTGCTTTTCCCTGCTGGGGCTATCTCCTCTTATATGGTTCTCCGTGTCTGCCTGGAGCCTTAAAAACGTCCAGAGGTTTCCTAGCTCGTCTGCCACCTCCACAGAGCCCTCCTCTCTCCTGCCTCTGGGTGGCATTTGGGGGCCTTCGTGTCCTCCCACCCACATGGCTCTTGAGTAGAGCCTCTCTAGGCATTTCTCACAAAAACAATGACAGTAGTAGTAATAATACCCAACCCTCTGCTCCCTCCGGAGCCCATTCGCTGTTCTCATTTAAACCTCTGAGATGACCCTGGGCGGGAGGGGGGGGGGGGGAAGGAAACTTTGTTATAGCCTTGAGGTGGGGCTGGTCATAATCTTATAAATAAATAAATGAATAATTTAATTGCTTAATTAAACTAATGTTTCCTGGGGGCTGACTGTGGGCCAAGTACTTTGCCCAAGGCTAGGGATTCTGAAGAGAATGACCTTGACCTCCTGGAGCTCAGAGTCCATTGGAGGAAATATCCAAAGAACTCATGGAAAAATCACAGTTGTGAGAAGTGTTGTGAAAGAGATGGGCAGGGAGGAGGTGTGACTGGAAGGAGGGATCCAGAGTCAAGGAGCGCTTCCTGGAGGAGGTGGCAACTGAGCCTTGAGGTCAATTTAGTTGGGGAGGAGAGTGTGAAGTCCATGCAGCTTGGCCAGGAGAGGGGTGAATATGTGTGGGTCTATCTCCTGGCCTATGATTACCTGTGGCTAGGCTTTGTGCCCCCATCATTCTGGGAGCCCTCCAGCAGGGTGCTCAGAGGGAGAGATTGCAAGGAAGGACCCTCACCTCCTCTGTCTGGCCCACTCTCCAAAGGGCTGCAAGGAGGGCATTGCAGGGCTTTCCCATAGTGCTTGCTTAAGCCCACTATGCCCCCCAGATCCTGGCGGCCACCATTGACAACGCTAGCCTGGTGCTACAAATCGACAACGCCCGCCTGGCAGCTGATGACTTCCGCACCAAGTGAGTCTGGGCCTCCAGGTCTGCCCCTGGGGCCTGGTGGTGGGTCTGTCTCTGCACATCAGAGCTCTCTGTGTGTACAAGGGGGTGTCCTGGGGTACTCCTTGGCTCATGCCTCCACCCTTTCCAGGTATGAGACGGAGCTGAACCTGCGCATGAGCGTGGAGGCTGACACCAATGGCCTGCGCCGGGTGCTGGACGAGCTGACCTTGGCCAGAGCTGATCTGGAGATGCAGATTGAGAGCCTCAAGGAGGAGCTGGCCTACCTGAAGAAGAACCACGAGGAGGTGAGGCTGACCCTAGGGAATGCAGGAGAAACCCCTACAAGGAGCAAGGCTGGGACCCTCAAATCTTCCTGGGCCAGGGCCATACTCTCAATCCAGTTCCCATCTCTGGTGCGTTCCTGGTTCTGATCCTGAGAGACCCTTGGAGGGGCCTGCATGAAGCCTGGAGGGTCCTCTCCCCTCAGAGATATTTCCCTTGTCCCTTGAGGCACAGCCTCTTGAGTGGTGGCAGTTAACTATCTAATGAGCAAATCAGCCTAAGAACATGAATGCTAATTACTCTAATTAATTGTAATAGTGATAGTCATAACAACAACCAAAATCTGCTCAGCACTTTACAAGTGATTCATGGCAATTATCTCAGCTGATCCAGTGGCTCTGGGGGTAGGGAGCTCTGTCCTCCCCTTACTGGTGAAGAAACAAGCTCAGAGAGGTTCAGAGATTTATCCAAAGCCACACCCAGGCCACCACTTTGCCCCCTCTCCCACCTCCCTTTTTCAGAGGGTCTTGGGGCCCTGGGGACCCTAAGACTCAACCCAAGGATGGGGATCCCAGGCCCTATAGGGGGACAGCAGCTTCCTTCTCAGCTGACCTTTGGGCTGGCCTGAGATTAGGGGAACCTAATCTTAGAGTAGCAGGAACCCAGAAGATATCTCCACTTGGCTTTGAGGCTGGTCATAGGGATTGCATCCCCCCAGCAGATTAACATTTCCTAATGAGGTTTGGCTCCTCGCTGATACCAACATGGGGCTGCTTCCCCTGTGCCCATACTGTGTAGTTGGTGGTGGGGGATAAAGCAGGCAGTCAGGGTGGTGAGCAAGGCTGTCCTGGCTCATCCCCTGACATGTTGCGGAGTTGCCATCTCTCTTTGCCTCACATACATTGGAACTGGGCAAAGTCCATCCCCGAGCACACGTTGAGGGAGATGGTCCATATTCACAACCCTGTGTGTTTGAGACAAGATCACATCTGCCTCCATCTTCAAGGGGAGGAGACATTGGGCTGTTTGTGTCTGTCTGCCATCTGTGCCTGTCTCCCTGAGGCTGAGAAGGCAGGCCCTGGGGTCTCTCCCCCAATGGCCTTGGTGAGCTCCTGCTCTCCTCTTGCCTAGGAAATGAATGCCCTGCGAGGCCAGGTGGGTGGGGATGTCAGCGTGGAGATGGACGCCGCCCCTGGTGTGGACCTGAGCCGCATCCTGAATGAGATGCGCGACCAGTATGAGAAGATGGCAGAGAAGAACCGCAAGGATGCCGAGGACTGGTTCTTTAGCAAGGTGGGTGGCCGTGTGTGAGCAAGTGTGCACATGTGTGCATGCATGTGCTGGGTGTTGGGTATGGGCTGGAAAACTTGTAGATCTACAGGCTGTCCCAGCTGGAAGGACCTTTGGAAACCAGTTGGACCTACTGCTCATGTCTGATGCATGATGTGAGGCTCAGGGAGGCCTCAGGCTCACACAAGCCACACTGCAGCTGGGGGAACAGATCCAGATCTCGTCATCCCTGTGTAGGGCTTCTCCCAGCACATTTGTAGGTGTGTGTGTGTGTTTGGATGAATAATTCATGCCTGTAGTAGATTCACACTGAGTAGCTACAGCGCCCAGGATGGTGACAGGCACAAAGAGAATTGAACCTGTCTTTGAGCAGTGCTCGGTAGGAGTATGGGATGCAAAGCAAGGTGCATCTGCTAAGTTCTAGGGTGGGCAGAGAGGGTGTCTGTGTGCAGGTGAGTCTGTAGCCCCACAAAGGCCAGGGAGAGGCAGGGGGTGGAGTGGGGTGGGAATTGGATCCAGCAGGTCAGGGCTCAGGGGCAGACCCTGTCCTCTGCCGCACCTCTGCAAGCCTTCTTAAGCCCCGGTGGCCCACCCTGCTTTTCAGACGGAGGAGCTGAACCGGGAGGTGGCCACCAACACCGAGGCTCTGCAGAGCAGCAGGACGGAGATCACGGAGCTCCGCCGAACTGTGCAGAATCTGGAGATTGAGCTGCAGTCTCAGCTCAGCATGGTAGGGCCTTGACCCAACCCCTAACCCCGGCCTGTACCTGTCACCCCAAGGTGGGCTCAGCCTAGCAGACTTCCACTTGGAGAACTCGAATTCCCCCCCCGCCCCCAGCCTGTCATTCACACTCAGTGACACGGGCCCCTCCCTGCCCCATGGCACCAGCAGTGCCCACGACCCCACACGGGTGAGTCCCCCTTCTGGGTCCTTGCTCTGGAGAAGGGCGCCAGCTTGGTCTCACCCAGCCACCTCTACTTTGGCCCGCAGAAAGCCTCGCTGGAGGGCAGCCTGGCGGAGACCGAGGCCCGCTATGGGGCCCAGCTGGCTCAGTTGCAGGGGCTCATTAGCAGCATCGAGCAGCAGCTGGGTGAGCTCCGCTGCGACATGGAGCGCCAGAACCAAGAGTACCAGGTTCTGCTGGATGTGAAGACGCGGCTGGAGCAGGAGATTGCCACCTACCGTCGCCTGCTGGAGGGCGAGGATGCCCAGTGAGTGGGGGCACTGGGGCACATGCTTGGTTCTGCTGGGGCCACTGCATCCAGGCAAGGACATTTGTGCTGAGGGGACAGCACAAATGGTGTAGGAGGTGTAGGAGGACAGGAGGTGTAGAGGTTTGCAGGAGGTGGAACTGAGAACGCTGGCTGGTCCCACTGCTGAGGAACACTGAAGGCCAAATTAAAGCATCTAGACTAGATTGTGTGGAAAGTGGGGAGCCACGGAGGGATTTTGCACAGAGGAGAGTTTCTATCATCAAGATGTCTTAGAACATTCACTCTGGCTGCATCGAGGGGCTCCAGTGGGGTCAGGGAGACCTGTCAGGAGGCTGGAGCTGGGAGTCAGGCCAGAGCAGCCCTACTGTAAGGCAGGGGTGGAGGGCAGGGAAAGGAATGTGGTGTGTGAAGAGGATGTGTTATAGTTAAAAACAGCAGGGCTAGCTGTCTGAGCGTGGGAGCAAGCGTGGCTCGCCGGCAGCATGCAATACATGTTGAGTGAGCACATGAAGTAGTGGAGAACGATGACCCTGGGTTTCTGGTTTTGATGACTGTGTGCTTGGTGATGCCATTATCCGGGATAAAGAGCAAGGTGGGTGGAGCTGGGCAGGTAGATCAGGGCCCTAGTGTAAAGTGGCTGAGAATGTCCTGGAGTCTCCATGCTAAGTCACCCACCCCAGCTTTTTGCTCCCTGACGATAGTGAGGTCCATGTATAGTCTAACCACAGTCCTTCCTGCTTTAATAGTCTATCTGTTGGGCCCTTTGGGATATGGAAAAACCACTTACTCAGCTTCTCCTTGTAAATCCATGTTTAGCCACAAAGTACCTCTGGACCCTCTTTTGGGGTGTCCCCTTTCCTTAAGTCCTGCCTACTGGGCCTTCACATTTGACCCTTGTGGTTGCTAATCTTTTCCATGTATTCTCAGCTGTGAGTTCTCTCTGGTTTGCTGGGACCTCTCTCCCGCGGCCCCAGGCCTCCCTAGCTGCTCCTCCCCCAGGGGGCCAGGCTCCGTGCCAGCACCCCTGAACTGACGGGTCCCCCTTTCCCTCCCTGTAGTCTGGCCACCCAGTACTCCTCTTCCCTGATCTCACAGCCCACCCGGGAAGGTAAGAGCCTGCCCCATCTGGCCCAGAGGGAATGGGGAGAGGCTGAGGACCCTTCTGTTGCGGGGGGTGGGCTCTAGGGGAGGGGCTCAGGCCTGAGGTTCCCTGTGCATCCCCCTCGTCTGCCCGCAGCCACAGTGACCACCCGCCAGGTGCGCACCATCATGGAAGAAGTTCAGGATGGCAAGGTGGTCTCCTCCCGCGAGCAGGTCCACCGCTCCACCCACTGAAGCCCCTTCTGACCTGTGACAGCCTGGCCTTGAGAGTCATGGGGCAGCCATCGCCTTGGGCTCCCAGCATGCTACTGCCACACCCTGAGCGCCCATCTGGGCCACCACCCAAGAGCTGTTGCCTTTCTGTAACTGTTTCCTGCAGCCCCTCACTGAGGGGGCCTCTTCGAATTGCCCTAGTGACTGCTATTAAAGCTTTGCCTGAAGTTCAATGCCTTGTGTGATCTGGTCTGGTCATTGGCTTAGGGCAGTGTGTGCCAAGGGACTGGGGAGGAGGACAGCTTGTTAAGTGTTTGGGTGCCACTTGTTAGCTGCTGGTCCATTCTGCCCACATCATCCAGGCCTGGGACTCCTGGGAAGGCCAAAGAGAAGAAGGCAGCAGATTGAGGGCAGAGGGTTAGGAGAGCCCATCAAGCTGGGACAGTTTCCAAGAATCAGCCTGTGGGTCCCTGTGGGTCCCCATGGACTGGTCCCTAGGAGGGCCCCATAGGCTTTCAGGGGAGCCACACCTGTTACAGGGAACTCCCTGCCTCAGCCTGGGGTAGGTCTGGGTTTAAGATCAGAGGGAGAGGGGCTGAACAGGGGGTTTTCCAAAGGTGTGGTCCAAGGTGTTGATGGATGAGAGGGGGTGGCAGTGGCACAGCTGCCAGCCCCGGAAACCAGCTCGTCCCGGTCAGGATGTGTGTGGGGCGGGGTTGCCCCTGTGCATGTGAGCGTGGGGGGCGTCCTGTTTGCTTTGGTGGCTTGGCAGCTCCTGGGCTGTTGGGGAATCTCTCTCAGCTGCTGGCTGGGGCTGTCTGGGCCTGTCTGGGAAGTGGAAGCCATCCGCATTCTAAGACATGAGCACATTCTATCCAGCAGGCCTGCCGGGACCCTGGGACCCACCCAGGTGGGCAGGGAAGGGTGGGGCTATGGGTGGCATAGGGCCAGTCTTGAAGGGCCTCATCAGGGACCTGGTGTGGGCCTCTGCGGGAGGGGGGGATGCTGGCTGGGGGTTCCCAGGAAGATCCTTAGACAGTGTCCTCTACATTTCCAGTGGGCTCAGACTTGCGGTATATGCCCCTCACCTCAACCTGAGGCCTCTTCTGGCATAGGAGGACTAAGACGGGTGGCGGGTGACATGGCCCTCCCCGTTTTTTCCAGTCCCCTTTTACCAGGATGCTCTCCTGCCAGGCTGTCATGTCCCATCTACAGCCAAACTCTTCTTTGCCCACCCTGGTCCAGGATACTCCCCTACAGGAGGATGGTTGGGGGAGATTAGAGAGGAGCCTGGGTCACCAGGGTTTCCAGGGATGGGGTCAGTGTCAGAAAACTGGCCAGGTGGAATCACAGCTCCTGGAGTGCTTCCTTGTGTCAGGGTTCTGCAGAGAGTGGGAGCAGTGTGCTGGGGCCCTGGGGGGAGTGTGGGTGCTGTGGAATAATGGGGACAAAGGATGCAGGAACCCTGCCAGCCCAGTTCTGCGGTTAGGTGGGGCAGTGGGGCACTGTCCCTCTCTGAGCCTCAGTTTCCTTATCTGTAAAATGGGGTGGTAAATTGAGGGTCATTGTATTGTGTGATGAGCCCAGCGGATTTAGGTCCAGTTTCCAAGGTGGGACAGGGTCTCAGTCTGTGTCTGTGTGTGTGTGTGTGTGTGTGTGTGTGTGTGTGTGTGGTGTGGTGGAGGAGAGCACCCTCAGGCTGGGGGTTGCCTGGTTCCCCAACCAGTTTCCCCACCAGACACAGGGGCCAGGTGGGCTGAGCTGGGGTGGCAGCTGCCTGGGAGGGCCTGGTGACGGTGACGTCCTATCTCTCCTCTTCTCCGTATTAGGTCATGGGAAAGCATAGCTGGAGGGCCTGCCTGAATCACAGATGACAGGCTTGAGACCAGAGACACGCACACGCGTCTGCAGACACCCAGCACGAGGGTTCAGAGAAGGGAGGCACAGCCCCGATGGTGGGAGGGGAGGGGGCCCACAGCCACCTGGGAGCTGGCTGGCGGCCAGCAGTGATGAAAGCTCAGGGGAATGGAAACAGAGGAGCGATCCTGTTGTAATCGCTACGCCCACTTGGCAGCCTATAAAGGACGCGGGCGAGCCCTGGCAGCAGCACGCACCTTGGGTCTCCCTCCTCACCAGCCCTCTCGCTCTGTGCCTGCCTGCTGCCCGCTGCTGCCACCATGACCACCACCATCCGCCAGTTCACCTCCTCCAGCTCCATCAAGGGCTCCTCGGGGCTGGGGGGCGGCTCGTCCCGCACCTCCTGCCGGCTGTCTGGCAGCCTGGGTGCCGGCTCCTGCAGGCTGGGGTCTGCTGGGGGCCTGGGCAGTGTCCTGGGGGGCAGTGGCTATTCTAGCTGCTACAACTTCGGCTCTGGCAGTGCTTACGGTGGCAGCTTTGGAGGTGTTGATGGGCTGCTGGCGGGCGGGGAGAAGGCCACCATGCAGAACCTCAACGACCGCCTGGCCTCCTACCTGGACAAGGTGCGCGCCCTGGAGGAGGCCAACACTGAGCTGGAGGTGAAGATCCGCGACTGGTACCAGAAGCAGGCCCCGGGGCCTGCCCGCGACTACAGCCACTACTACCAGACTATCGAGGACCTGAAGAACAAGGTAGGGCCTGCTGGTGGGGCAGGGCCTGTGGGGCGTATGACTTCTCCTTCTCCATCTCCTCCCCTTGACTGTGGCCCAGAGTCAGCCTGGATGGCTGTCACAGGGTCTCAGGGAGCCTTAGTCTCAGGGAGCCCACCTTAGAGCCACTGTGTGGCATGTTCCCCTTTGTTCCACTGGGCAGCAGCTGGGCCAGGGAAAAGCAGGCCTCGTGGAACTGCTGTGAGCCTTGGTTTCCCCATTGTGGGGCTTACTGCCACCACCTCAGGTAATTGGATAAGATGCGTGGATGCATGTAGAGTCTGGGCTCTGGGGGCTGCTGGATACGTGGGTACTTCTCTTCTTGAAGCAAGGGGGTATTTTGGGCCATGGTGGGGTGAGGACAGCTAGTGAGTTCCTGATGGCACCTGCTGGAGGAGGAGGTGGAGAGAGGGGGCGGGACCTCGGAAATTCCTCTGTGTGCCTTATTTGGTGATTTTTCTGGCTCCCCATCCCTCCCACTGCCCCCCTCAAGAATAGGACTCAGCAAACCTCCAAGGGCAGAGCTCCCCGCTGGAGTCTGGGGTTGAGGCCTAGCCAGGGTCATGACTTCTGATTTGGAACTCTTCTTTGGTGAGGGGTCCTGTAGGGCCCCTTCTGAGGGATCCTCTTAGGCACCATCTCCCCAACTGTAAAATGAGGGGATTGTTTACCTCTCCTCCACTTTTTGGACATCTACTGCCCCAGGGACCATTCTTATCTCCCTTGTTGGACACTCCCGTCTGTCCACCTGTTCTGATTGAGGGCAAACCCCAGCATGGGGGTCCATGTGGGGGGAGGCAGGGCCCGGGAGGAGGAGAGGCAAGTTTTCGCCTATCAGACTCCTGCTGGCCCCGCCTCTGCCAATAATTGCTGCCCAGTAAAGGTGAGAGGCTGGGCAGGAAAGAAGCCTTCCTGGAGAAGGCAGCCACATCCTCGCCTCCGGGCAGGAAGATCCATCTCATAACCCTGGTCCCGGCTGAGCTCCTCCCCACCAATGACCTTACCACTCTCCTGTTCTCCCCAGATCCTCACGGCCACTGTGGACAATGCCAACATCCTGCTGCAGATTGACAATGCCCGCCTGGCCGCTGATGACTTCCGTACCAAGTGAGCCCTAGCCAGTGGGCTGGGGGGAACTGGGGCACCCCTCCTCACGCTAGGACCACAATTGCTGTGGGACGGGTCAGGAGCTGGGGGTGGAGGAATCCACCTCTTAGTCACAGATGTGGCAAATGCAGCAAATTCTGAAGGTCACTGGGCTTAGGCAGGGAGAAGGAGGAGAGAGAGGCAGGGGGCATAAGAGAGAGAAGCAGGAAGCCAAGAGTGGTGGTGGGGCTTTGCCTTACATGGTCCTACGGCCCTGGGGCTACAGTTTGGTTCCACTCCACCCCTCTGCCCCTATCAACCCTCACAGGCTCTTAGAGCCTTGGCCAGAACATGGACCTGCACCACCAAGCATCAAGACTAAGTCTCTGGTTCCTTTTGCAGGTTTGAGACGGAGCAGGCTCTGCGGGTGAGCGTGGAGGCTGACACCAACGGCCTGCGCAGGGTGCTGGATGAGCTGACCCTGTCCAGAGCTGACCTGGAGATGCAGATTGAGAACCTCAAGGAGGAGCTGGCTTACCTGCGGAAGAACCATGAGGAGGTGAGGTGGTAGGGCAGCAGGTCATAGAGGCTGCAGGGGGTCACAGGACTCTGGGGCTTTGCCAAGCCTGAGACCATGGGAAGAGCACAGAGCAGGTGCTCCAGGGCTGGTTGCCTTATGGGGCTGCCCTGTCTGCGGAGCCCTGATCCAAGCCTCCTCCAAGTACCATCTTGCTTACCTGCTTCTGGGGACCCTCCCAGGTTCTGCAGAGGCCTCTTCTGCCCATCCTGGCCTCCCTCATGAGGACAAGGGATAGGTGAGGAGGTCTCTTTGCTTCAACTCAAGCCTTTGAACCTGGACTCTATGTGGGAATTTGGGAATTAGAGGGGATATTTTAGGGGTACAGGCCTAAAAATTAGATTTTATCTTTGAAGAACCCTTGGTCTAATGGAGGAGACATAGAACCTGTCCTCAGGGAACCCCCAGTCTGATGGTAGGGACAGAGCCCATACAGAGCAGATGAATAAGAGTCAGCAGGAGGGGCAGAGGGTAGAGGATAGGCAGAATGAAGGAGAGCTCCTTGGGAGGGGTCTGGAGAGCTTGCCTGGGAAGGTTTGGAAGTAAGAGATCAGGACAGGCCGAGTGCCCACACCCACAACCCTCTCCCTCCACAGGAGATGAATGCCCTGCGAGGCCAGGTGGGTGGTGAGATCAACGTGGAGATGGATGCAGCCCCCGGTGTGGACCTGAGCCGCATCCTGTCTGAGATGCGTGACCAGTACGAGAAAATGGCAGAGAAGAACCGCAAGGACGCCGAGGACTGGTTCTTCAGCAAGGTAGAGGCTGCAGCAGGCCAGAGGCCTCTCCCAGGGGGTGGGGAGCAAAGACTGAGTCCTGGCTTATGCATAGTACCTGGCATCTTGGGGTGCTCTATCCTCAGTGAGCCACATGGATCCCAGGGGACCAGGGTCACCCATTGCATCAATAGGCTAGGAGCTTGGCCAGAGTTGGGATCTAGGCGTGGGAGGAGAGCCCCCCGCAGGAATAAAGCCAGAGGGTAAAGACCCCAAGAGCTTCCAACTCTTCACGAGGTCAGGAACTGGCAGCAGGGGACTGGTTGATATCTTGGCTGGTCCTCAAGTTGCCTATTCTAGGGCCTTCTACTTGGAGGGACTAAAGATAAAGCTTCACATCATTTCAAAGGTTTCTCTCATTTCTGGAAGTGGGATGCTGGTGAGAAGGCACTGCTCCTACAGTCAGGTTTGGGAAGAGGCCCAGGGGAGGTCAGGAAGGTGACCACATCCAGGGGAGTTATGGGGAGTGAGGAGAGACTGGGATGCCCATTTGGGCCGAGCATATGGAGACCATGGGGGTCATCTGACTCAGAGAAGGGATCCCAAGCTAATGCTGCACTGTCCTGTGTCCTGTCTGCAGACAGAGGAGCTGAACCGCGAGGTGGCCACCAACAGTGAGCTGGTACAGAGCGGTAAGAGTGAGATTTCCGAACTCCGGCGCACTGTGCAGGCCTTGGAGATTGAGCTGCAGTCCCAGCTCAGCATGGTAGGGGAGCTGCTAAGCCTGGGGCACATCTGGGACCCTGGAGGGGGCACTGAGCATCCTTGGTGACCCCTGGTCCTCCTGCCTTCCTGCAGAAAGCATCCCTGGAAGGTAGCCTGGCTGAGACAGAGAACCGCTACTGCGTGCAGCTGTCCCAGATCCAGGGGCTGATCGGCAGTGTGGAGGAGCAGCTGGCCCAACTGCGCTGTGAGATGGAGCAGCAGAACCAGGAATACAAGATCCTGCTGGATGTGAAGACAAGACTGGAGCAGGAGATCGCCACCTACCGCCGCCTGCTGGAGGGCGAGGACGCCCAGTGAGTTGGGGGTCAGGAGCCAGGGCTGTGGACCTGGGGTAGGGGTGGAAATCTCAGACCCAAATCTAATCTCCTCTCTGTTTCTTTTCCCCCCAGCCTGACTCAGTACAAGCCCAAAGAACGTAAGGATCTGGGTAGCTGAGGGTGGGGGTGCACGGGGCTGGCAACCCATCTGCATATTGTTGGGGAGGATCCCCAGGAGCTCCAGGAAATGATGGTTGATCCTTAGCAGGGGTGGGGGAAAGGACCTGTTAGGGCCCAGGCGGTTGATGTTGAGGGGAATCAGATGAGGGGGCAGGACAGAGAGATGGTCCTTACCTAGAGATCCTAATCTGATGTGGCAGATGTGGTCCTAGCTCTGGAGACTCTTCCGACGGGGAGATTAGGGATGTGGTCTCATGGTCTTTGTTCTTGAGACCCTACAGATGAGCAAAGGCAGCCCTGTCCCTGGGGTCTCTAGTCTGATGGGAGAAAGGGACATGTTCCTTGTCCTCCAGACCCTGGTCTGATGGGGAAGATAAGATCCTGGCCCTGGGTATATAGTCTAATGAGGGTGATGTGGATCTGGTTCTTGTCTTGGAGATCCCAGTCTGGTAATGGGGGAGACCAGAGACAGACTCCATTGGGAAGTGTCCAATCTCACAGAGGGACACAGTGGGTCAGGATCATACCACCCATCTGGGCGGCTGGATTCACACAGGCGCAACAGCACAGGGATGGGATGGAAGAGGGAGTGGCAAGAGCAGGAGGGACACAGGTCTGGATGTGATATTGAGAGGCGAGTAGAAGCACAGACAGCAAGCAGTGGCGGAGAAAAGAGCTGGCTCCACCCAGGGGGCTGGGGGCTGAGCCAGGGTCTCCTGGCCCTCGCCCACCTCCAAGTGTCTGTCTCCTACAGCCGTGACCACCCGCCAGGTGCGCACCATCGTGGAAGAGGTCCAGGACGGCAAGGTCATCTCCTCCCGGGAGCAGGTGCACCAGACCACCCGCTGAGAGCTCTGCCTTCCTGGTCAGCCTCTCAGAGTTCCCCTGCAGCCTCAGCTCCTGGCTTCGGTCCTTTCCCATACCCCTCCGCCTGACCAATAAAGCTTGTTGACTCAGATATGGAATGTGTCCTGATTATGGCCACTGAGGTGGGCCCTAGCGAGCAATGGGTGAACTGGGGGAAATGAGGACGGGGGGAGGAGTCTGTGGACACAGACTATTGTTGACTTGGAGGTTAAGGGTCATCTAGGATCGTGGTAAAGAGTAGGTCTGGGCAGAGCTTAGGGAACCATTTGTATCTCCTAAAGGTCAGTGATCCTCGGGACAGTGGTCCAGGCAATACCAGAACTAGGTGGGGCCAGCATATCTGGGAGGGTCTCAGGTGGCCTCTTCTTGCCTGGTAAGGAGGTCCATTACTTTGGGCAGTGTGGCTTTGCCTTGCTGAGCTTCATTTCCTCATCTATAAATGGCTGAGGAGATGTCAGGTGGGAGCCGGAGTCCTAAAGGATGACACATCCAGTCAATTGCTCTGAGAGGGGGCAGGGGATGGGCAAGGATGGGAGTCAGGATCCTCCTGGAAAAGGCACGAGCATAGGGAAGGTGGGGAGGCATGCTGGGTGGTTAGGGCTCAAGTTCCTTTGTGAGTCTCAGGAATCCCCCCAAGGGAATTTGGGGGCTCCCAGGGGTACTTCTATTTCCTCACCCCAGGACTGTGGGTTGCAGACTCTGCTTCTAGAGAAGGCTGTGGGCCTCGGGCAGGTGTGGGAGAAAGGGTGGGACTTACCTCAGGGATATTTCCTCAAATGGTCAGCCCATTGTTCAGGATGGGGTGGAAAGGGGGGTGTGCCAGGGTAGGGCAGGGAGAAGCACCACCTCCCTGGTAGCCTGGGAGAAGGGAAGGTGGGAGGAGCAGTCCTGCCCTAGCCACTCCCAGGACCCTCTGGGCCCCAGCCCTTTTCTCTGGTGTCAGGCAATGGGCCAGTTGAGGAGGAGCCCCAATACCTGGAAGTCTTCCTTTGAGTAAATCTGGAAGCCACAGAGCAGGGCAAGCCTTCCCGGTTTTCTTCAGGAAATGAGGATGGGTGGAAGGGGTTAATGACAAGAAGGGCGCTCCCACCCCAATTCACTGACAGGTCAGGCTTCTGTTGTGGAATCAGACCAGGGCCCTCCTGGTGCTGGAGACTGAAGGTGGGGATCAGACCCTCAGATGGGCCAGAGCCGCGAGACCTGGCGGGGTGCAGGGCTCGGGCCTAGTGGTAGTTACAGCATGGTCTATGAGGTGCCCAGGTGGGTGTGGGACTTTGGACAGGTCCCAGGCCTGCTCTGGACCTCAGAGACTTCAGTAACTGGGGAGAGAGATGAGCCCAGCTGATGGTCCTTCCAGCCCTGACCCCGGCGCGATTGAGGACAGTGAGTTCCTTGCCATTGGCAGGGACTGCCGGCTGGAGTCCAGAGCCCGTGTCTCAGAGGCAGCTGCAGTACTCAGGGCAGCCTGGGAGTGTGGACTCCGCTCCGCCAGCAGCTGGCGTCTCCCAGCTGCCTGAGCAGCAGTAAAGGATGGAGGGCAGGGGGAGGCACTGTACCCACCAGGCCCCACTGCATTGCCAGCTACAACCAGAAGAACCAGCCCTGGGTTGAGGATGGCTCATTGGGAGAGTGATCTCATTTGTCAGAATGACAGTCCCAGGAAGCGGGGAGGGCCTGGGTTAGAGGCGCCCCATTGTGTGGATAGGGACACTGAGGTTCCAAGGAACAGTGACTCAGCCCTTGTCTGAGTTGTGCTGGGAAGAGGAGATGAGAGTCCCACCTCTTGCTCTGCCCCCAGCTCTTAGGCAAGGGCCTTCTCTCCCTGCGGATCCTGGGGGCCCACCCCTACTGATGGGGTGAGTGAGGAGGGGTCACAGCATGGGCGTGGCCAAAGATAGCTGGGACTTGGCTCTTCTGCCCAGGAAGAAGGTCCTGCCCACAAAGTGAGTGGGTGGGTGGCTCAGGAGGCCAGATCGAGAGAAGGCAGGTGCGAAGAGCTGGGCCAGTAGAGGCAGAGGTTGCCTGCTAAGGATGGGAGTCCCCAGGGGGTGGTCCTGGGTCCAGAGAGGGGAAGCCCCACTCTTTCCAAGAGTGCTCAGCCCACACCTGGGCAGGTAGAGCCACAGGATGGTGTAGTGACTGGGGGCTGAGAACCGTGGTCCCCTTGGGGATAGTGTGGGGGAATTTTGGTGGCTGGAATTTTTTTGTCCAGGTACCCCAAGCCAACCCAGGCTGCTGGGGATGCGTGCCTGTGGCCAGACTGGGGACCCAGCTGTGGGACTCCATGGTTCATCCATATCCACCCATTACCCTGCACAAAATATTTCATCTCCATCAGGGAACCGGTCTATAACCGCCCTTGGCACTGCTTTACCCGCTTTCATGTGATGGACACACACACCTGATTTCCAGGCCCAGGCCAGGCCCAGCAGTAGCCAGGCCCTATGACTCTTTCTCTGCCATGCCCACACCCTGAAAGTGTGACCAGGCAGTGCTTTCCGTAAGGAGACCATGTGGCGGTAACCCTCTGTCCATGACATGGCATCACTCTGTGCTTCTGCACTGGCCCTGGGGGGAAGGAGGAGACACATGCCCTGGCCTGGCAGGACCCTGCAGGACCCAGTTTAGAGGTGGTGGGCACAGTGCTGAAGCTGACAGTACTCCTTCAGTCCTTATGCAGTGCGGTGGGGGTGGGGGTAGGAGGTTGAGGAGAACAGGGGGACTGGAGCCACCAGGTGCAGAGCAAGGCTCTAACTGAACTTGATCTTGTTCCGCTGAGGGCCCCTGGGTGGTGCAGACCAGCGTGATGGGCTGTGATAGTCCCCACCCTCGGAAAAGGGGCAGGAAACACACGTGAAATGAGAGGACCACCTGCCATCTGGCACTCACAGATTCACCCAGAGCCTGGGACCAATAGTGGGGCCACAGCCCGGACTGGGGACACCTGTTCATCCCCAGGGAGCCTGCCCCCTCCCTGCAGGCCCCCCACACTCCATAGTGGCTTGGCCACACAGCATTGGGGTTGTTTATAAGTATGCCCCGAGGGCTTCTCTGTCTGGTTCTTTGTATCTGAGTGTCCAGTCCAGATCTAGCTCCTGCTTGCCTGACCCCAGGCCACTCTGTCCTGGCTCCATCGGGGATCTTCTCTTTCTTCACCCTGCCCTAAAGCCTGTGGTTTGGACTGCCACTGGGGGCTGGGGCCCTGCAACAGCCCCCTCTCACCCTTCAGTCTCCTTAGGGTCTCCCTACCTTTCCTTCCTCCCCCAGGCTGCCTCCTGCTTCCCAGCCTGGCTGGTCACCAGAATTTCCTGGGAGCTCATAAAATGTCCCTACGACCAGGCTTGTCCTGGGCCATGCTGAGACTGTGGGTCAGAGCAGGTCGGGAATCTGTATGAAGATCCTGGTGATCAGTCAGGTTGGGGAATCACTGCAAGCTGAGGCATGCCAATAATATTTCCCAGACAACTCAGGTATGAGATGACCTCATACCTGAGATGGGGCGGGTGAAGGAGCAAAGAAAGAGGCCCCGGGTTGGGGGAAGGAAGCCACTGCCTGGAGGGATGCCAGTTTGGTGGGACTCTGTGCCCTGTGCCCACAGACCTAGCGATCCCAGCTCTCAGCAACCTTGGGCAGGTTTGCCTTGCTGGCATGGAATAAATGTCCCCTGCTCCTTCTCTGTCGGTTCAGATCTTCTGAGGCCCAGCTGGAGCCTCTCCTGATTACTCCCTCCTTTACTGCTGAGGCTCAGGGTCGGGTAATGCTCACCCAGCTGCATTCCTTGGGCCAAGCACCCCAGGGTTTCTTGCCACGTGGTGCCATATTCCAGGCCTTAGCTTTCTCTCTGGGATCAAATGGTAGGTTCCAAGGTCAAAGACTGTGTCATCATCTTCCCCACCTCCCATGCACCGGGTGCTGGGCACATGGTGGTGGGTGCTTGGTCTGCCGTATTGCCTGAGTGGTTGGATGGGTTGGTCGGCAACTTCCTGTAGCTTCTCAGCCTCAGAGATGTGCAGCCATCAGTGTGGGGCCTGTGCGTGAGGCCACTCCGACTCCAGGAATGGTGGCAAGGGGCAGAGCTCCAGTCAGAAGGGAGGGAGGTGGAGAGCATGCCGAGGCAGGGGAAGAGGAGCTCCCAGAGACCCCTGGGAGAGTCTGTGTGAACCTCAGGAACTGCACTGGAGCTGGGTTCAAGTTTCTGCTCCTCTGTTTCTGTACTCATCAACCTGGGACAAGTCTTTCTCTAACTCTGCTTGGTGGCCTTAAATGTGATTTTTAGTTCTGATGAGTCAGTCTGTAGTTGGACTGAAATCCAGACCCATCTGGACAGCAGAGATGGCAGGGGTTTTGTTCAAGATTCTAGGACCCATTTTTGGGGGTTAGGAGAGGGGAGCATTGGGTCCTGTCTCCCAAGCCTGGCCCTGAAGGTATGTATTGGGCGCCAGCTCTGCTCAGACCTCTGGGCCCTGTTCCTACAAGCTGAGTGACTGACAGGGCGCGATGTGGCAGCAATAAAGTTCTGGTTATGCTGAGACAGAATTTCCTGTCCCTGGGTTCCAGTAGTATCACCCAGCAGTGCTCAGGCTGGGGCAAGCCCTCTCTGGGCTCCTCTCAGGGCCACAGAGTCACTTCACAGCAAGGACCGTGGCCAGCTCAGGGCACCCCGAGGAAGCTCCTGTTTGGGGGTTTAGTTCCCCTCCAGCCCTCAGGCCCAGGTCATGCCCACTGTGGACAGAGCTCATTCCAGGCACTGTGGGGAGGTAGAAGAGGAGACGTACTGGTCCCAGCCTGCAAGGCATCATGGGAAAGTGGAGACATCCTGAGCCCAGGGTTCCAGTCTTGCCTCCACAACTTGAAACTGAGTGACTTTGGGCAAATTACCCCCTCACTCTGGTTCTCCCTCTCTCCTTCCCAGTTCACAGGGTTTATTCAAGACAATTATGCATGTTGGTGATACATGGATAGGGTGGTTCAGGATGGTGGGAAGGGCTCCGACTGGGCAAGCAGATAGGAAGGGGTTCAAGCCTCATCTTGCTGCTTGGCTGGGGTCCCACTTAACACCTACCAGTTCCCCTGTCTGTGAACCTGTAGCAG